CGGGCGCCCCCGGGCCGGATGGCCCCGGGGAGGCGAGGACCCAGATGGTGGTGGTCGGAGCCACCTTCCCCACAGGGCTGAGCCAGACGCTGGAGAAGTTCACCGATGTGGGCCAGTTTGTCACTCTCGCCACCCAGAGCCTGCACCGCCTGCCACCCCATGTCCAGCAGAAGTTTGTCCGCCTCAAAGGCCGGGACAAGCTGCCGGAGCCACCTTCCCCACAGGGCTGAGCCAGACGCTGGAGAAGTTCACCGATGTGGGCCAGTTTGTCACTCTCGCCACCCAGAGCCTGCACCGCCTGCCACCCCATGTCCAGCAGAAGTTTGTCCGCCTCAAAGGCCGGGACAAGCTGCCCGAACTGCTGCAGCTACTCAAGGAGTGCCCAGCATCCAGTGGGGCTGTTCTCATCTTCTGCAACAGTGCCAGCACTGTCAACTGGCTGGGCTATATCCTGGATGACCACAAAATCAAGCACCTCAGGTTGCAGGGACAGATGTCAGCGGCTGCTAGAGCTGGCATCTTTGCCGCTTTCCAGAAGGGCGATGTGTCTGTCCTCATCTGCACTGACCTTGCCTCACGGGGGCTGGACACCAGCAGTGTGCGGCTAGTGGTCAACTATGACTTCCCAGACACCCTGCAGGACTACCTGCACCGCGTGGGGCGAGTTGGACGGGTTGGAAGCAAGGCACCAGGAGCCGTGGTCAGTTTTGTCACCCATCGGTGGGATGTGGACCTGGTACGGAAAATAGAGACTGCAGCCCGGAAGAGAACAGGTCTCCCAGGCATGGACTCCTCTATTAATAAGCTTCCACATAAAGGAGGTTGATTCTGGTTGCCAAGCAGTAATAAATGGCCTGGTAGGGACTAAGCTGGAAGTTATTAAGGAAGAGCAAATGAGTTTCTGCGTGTAAGCCAGACTGAAAGAATAGAGAATTGAGTTTCAGGACAAGGTGATTAGGTTACCTTTGTTAACTGTTCTGGAAGCTGCAGTAGTAATTTCCATGGGCATCATGACTCACGGCATTCCAAAAGGAAGCTAGTAAGTGAGTAACAAAATACCTTTGGAGAAGAGTGAAGAATGATCTTATAAGTTGATTTTGTTTAATTGTGTTGAGACTTTGTGTTTATTCAAATCAGAATAAAAGCATGCCTATATGATGTGCAGCTCCGTTGCATTTCATTGCTTCCCACCATGAGCAGCTAAACATTCATTATTAAAACTTAAAAATTAGCAGGAAAAAAAAGAAAATATTTTCCTAACTTTGATATAACTTTGACCAATTATAGATACATGTTGAAAGACTAAGGGACAAATTATATTTAATTTTCTTGTGATGTAGCAATTCATTCAGAGAATTCTGGATCAGATACCCCTATGGTTTGGTGGGAATGAGAATGCACAATAAAGCTTGAGGCTTTTTCAAGGTCTTAATTTGTCATTTTTATGGTTACCTTTCACTGAGAAAGGGGATCTTGCTGGTTCATGTTCTATTAAATGAGAAAAAAAAGCCTTAAGTGTTTTCTGCTCATTTTTTCTGCATGCTGTAGTAAAACGTTGTCTCTGAACTGGTTGTAAAAACAAACAACCCCGATCCGCCTAAAAATGTCATCTGTTTCTGGGAAAGAAATGTGTTGACTCACAGGCAACAGAGCGAGTACAGTATTTCTTTTGAATATTGTGCCATTGTTCTTTTCTGCTTTAAACCAACAGGATGAGGTTACTTAGTATATAGCTGCTAGTTTGTATCCATGGTAAATAGTCACAGAAAGATAGCATTTTAGCTTTGATTTCTGTTGAGTGATTTATCACAAGCCTTTTCTTCTAGTGGTGGTTTTTCCACTTATCTACTTCAGCCTGTGCTAAAACTCTGTGTAGAAATAGTAAGCTGTTAAATTAAAAGGTCACAGCATAGTTTCTAAATCATTGGTTTCAGAGGAAATAAGGCACTGGAGCTACTCTTATTTTTGATATACTGAGAGTAAAAAGTAAAACAGAAAACTTGCACAGATAATCACTTAAGGGTATATAATGTTATCCTAAAAACTGTACAGGTGTACTCTGTTCACACTGCACAGTTAAGGGGCTTTTAGAGGAAGTTCCAAGCTGCGGTGAAATTATTTAATATGATAGAAAGCTTTCAACTTTATAGAAATACAGTGGAAGAGTGATCCACTTGGAGACTGGAAACCTTTATATTTTGGACCTACTCATTGCATGGACTACTTGCCTCTCATCTATAGCTCACTTAACTACAAGTGAGGCAATTTGTGTGTGTCCACAAGCAGAAGCTTACTGTTTGTGTATAGACGTTGGGTAAATCCTTAAAAAGAAATCTGGGGACAATCTAGTATTATAATTTACAGAAGGTCTTATTTCTATTTGTTAATACGCATCTTATGTTGTATCAGGTTCTCTGAACTGTTGAGAAATAGCTTCCTTTAACTGTAGACACACAGATTAAATGAGGTAAATTGTATTCAAGAAACTGCAAGTAAGAAATTTTAATAATTGCTTGCCTGTTTTGCTTAAGCAATTTCAGGCCGATTCCATCTCAAATGTCATATAATTTGATCTTTTTCAAAGCTGTAGCGCTTCACTGTATTAGCATAAATATCAAGTTACTACCTGCTTCACAGAGTGTCTGTCTTTTAAGTTTCTGAGGAAAATTGTTGCTTGGGATCTCAGGTGTCCGACTTCAAGTATTTGTCTTCTCATATAGCTGTTATACAGGACTAAATCAATCAGTTGTTTGGGATAAAAAATATCAGAACTATTGCAGGTGTTATGTACTGTAATACTTTGCTCTGTTACCTGCACTTTCAAGCTAAATAATGCAACCGAAGTTAACCACAGTTAAATGATGTCACATAAGCACTAACTTCTGACACAATATCCATGGTCAAACTATGTGGCAATGGTCATTCATAATTAATGCATCTGCTTAATTTGTATCAGTAACTAAGTGGCACTGGTGATAGGGGAGTATCATTTTTCTTGAGTTAAAATATGTGGAAGGAAAATGGGAGGAAGGTTGACTTCAGATAAGTTATCCAGATTATATATTAAAAGCAGTGTGGGCATATTTGACACTGAGGTACAAAATATGTGTTAAAAATGAATTATTTGTGTTTTACACATGTTAAGAAATTAATTACAGAATCACAGAATGGCAAGGGTTGGAAGGGACCTCGAGAGATCATCTAGTCCAACCCCCCTGCTCAACCAGGTTCATCTAGAGCATGTTACACAGGACTTCATCCAGGCAGGCGTTGAATATCTCCAGAGAAGGAGACTCCACAACCCCCCTGGGCAGCCTGTTCCAGTGCTCTGTCACCCTCAAAGTCAAAAAGTTCTTCCTCGTGTTCAACTGAAACCTCTTGTGATTCAGTTTGTGCCCACTGCCCCTAATAACAATAATTGTGTGTGTTCTGATGGCCATAACAAAAGATGTTGAAGATGTTCTACAAGGTTATATTTGGATGATTTTGTTACGGTTGTTTTAGATGTATAATTTGTAATTTAACTTCTGTTACTCACTTTTAAAA